CGAATTGAACAGTAATATTTTGTTAGTAGATAAATGTATTTCCCTTCAGCCAGCAGCTTTAGCCCTGCCTTTTTTTTTTACGGGGGGAAAATCATCGAATGACTGCTCCCGCCTGGGTGAGGCGGAAGGGAGTGTCAGACTCTTACTGACTAAAAACCACCCCGTTCCTTCTCCTGCACGTCGAGCCGGAGCCTCGGTTACCCGTTAGGTTCTCCGCGACTCCGAATCGGCATCGACCCTATTGGCCGCATCTGTGGTGGTCTGATGGCTCTTTGAGGCGCGCGCGGAACGCGACGCGCCGTACGCTCGGGTCTGTTTCTGGTCGGACGGGGAGCCACCCATGCTCGACGCCCGGTGTGTCCTTCGCGATGGCTGGGTTGCGAGGAGGCAGCGCTTCGCTGCCTCACGCGTCCCGCCTCCTCCTTAGCTAGCATGACTGCTTCGCAAAAGGAGGAGACGGCATCCCAGTCCCAGCTTTAGCCCTGCCTAGGAGCTGGTTGTGGTTACAGCAATAACGAACAAGGTCGGGGAGCGCCGGAGCGGTCACTAGTGTAGTAGGTACCTAGTTACTGCTCACTGCGCATTATGCTCTGCAGTGTGCTTATCTCGTCAATGATGTCTAGGATTAGGATGACACGCTGTGAATGACGCCGCGACGCTGCTCGTGATAACATTCAATAATACACGTCTTGTTTGTGACATGTGTGCCTAATCTCACTTTATCCTTACAGATAGTAGCGAGTCCAATATTGTAAGGACATAATGACCTTATCTCATGTCCCTAGTCCCTCGGCAGTCCCGAGCGTACGGCGCGTCGCGTTCCGCGCGCGCCTCAAAGAGCCATCAGACCACCACAGATGGGGCCCAAATAGGGCCGATGCCGATTCGGAGTCGCGGAGAACCTAACGGGTAACCGGGGCTCCGGCTCGACGGGCAGGAGAAGGAACGGGGTGGTTTTTAGTCAGTATGAGTCTGACACTCCCTCCGCCTCACCCAGGCGGGAGCAGTCATTCGATGATTTTCTCCCCTTAAAAAAAAAGTCCGTCTGCAGTGTACAGCCTACCTATAGCACTAATTCATTTTCAATTAGGTACCTAGTACACACGTGTATTACTACGCTACGGTAGGTAGGTATGTAGGTAAACTCCTGAAATTGTGAAGTGTGCTAGATAGGAGACGTTGAAGGTAATAGTATTTAGGCATTGTAGAACTGTCTACAGTCGCGGAGCCAATTCAGGTACAAGTAGGTATGTAACTGTTTCTCAAACTGAGCTGACTTTGTTCATATGTGGGAGATATAAGTGACGTCAAGTAGCACAAGCTTCGAGAGAGCGTCAATAATGACATTGATACAAGCATGTATTGTTAGGTGCCGGGAGCCGGGAGCTCAATGTTTACAATGTCAGCCGTCACGGGGGCGCGGGGCGCGGCAGCGGGGTGGCGCGCAGCCTCCGGCGCGCATGTGGCGCGCGGCGCGGCAGGCGGGCTGCGGGCTGCGGGCGCGGCACATGGAGTCCGCGCGCGCCGTCGCTGCGCCGCCAGTCGCGCTCCGACCGCGCCGCCGACCGCTCGCCTCCACGCGCGCCTCGCTCGCCGACACCACGGCAGGCCCGCCGCCACCCCCGTCGCACGCCCGCGCCCGCTCCATGCGCACCTGACACCGCCTGTCGCACTGCTCGCACTGCCCGCAACATCCCGCTCCGGACTCAGGCAAACACCTTCACAAGTGAGTGTTCGTCACAGCTTTCTTCCACACTGGGGTCCCGCGGAGCCGGCCGACTCGCTCAGGTAGACGCCGCTGCACTTTTCAACTGGTTGTTGCCGCACCCTTGCAAACGCTTCCGACCACCCTTGCATAGTTATGCACTTGTATCGGTTACTTTACAATTTGTTTTTGTATAAAACAAAATTTAAATCAAATCTTGTACACACGTAATGCGTTAGTTGCATTTTTGTCTTTTAATTATGCTCTTTAGATTATTGTTGTTAATTAGTTACTTAATTATTGCAATCGTGACTTGAAGGTACAACGCAAAGTAACGTCATCGTAGGTATTGCCGGTTCTCTCAAAGTAGGTATAGGTCGCGCGCCGCGGATTGTAGGCTCCCACAAAGTGCTCGTACTCGTGTCCTAGCTATATCATATCCTACGTTAAGTAGGTAGTTATTTCTTTGCGTGTGAGTGGATAGGATTGGCTTACAAATTCCTCAGCATTACTTTCACGCGCAACTCTCGACTTGTTGTCGATCTCGCAGCGCCGCGCCGCGCCGATCCTACCCGTGGCCTGGGTGGTCCTCGACTCCTAGGGTCTCGCTCGTCGTACCTAAACAAACATGTCCCGGTATTTTGAGCCCGTAGTTCGTCAGTGGCACTGCCATACAATAATCGTGCCCGGGAGTGATCACAACTCCAACGTGTGAGGAGCAGGTAGGTCTATCCAACCATACAATACTCCTAGAGTATGCAATCTCAAGATCTTGTCTGTTTTAGCGAGATTAATTTTGTTTGCTTTTCTAAAGGATTTTTGTTTGTTTGGTTATAGAAAAGAAGACGTAGTTGTTTGTTATTCAGTACTTACGTGAAAGTAGAAGTCGTAAACTAATAGACATACAAACTTTTGCTTCCAACTTCGTCCTAATTTTCGAGAAGAAATTTGTGAAAATTAATTTATTCTTACAATTAATCTTATTGTTCCTAATTTACCTATTTAAATATTATGATAATTTGCATTAAAACATACAACTGGTACCTACCTAATCTCGCCAGATGTCGAAATTGGCGAGATTGTATTATCTCGCGAGATTTGCATTCCCTAAACATACTAACCTAACAAGCCAACACGCGCGACACCTTGGATTGGTAGAGGTGGTACTAACTTAGTTACCACCAGGCGAGAAGTACGACACTGCCGATACCTACCTATTAGTACCTATTTAATATATAATATAACATAATGTGCACCTCTGCCTACCCCTTCGGGATAAATGGCGTGATGTTATGTTATGTAATAAAAATTAACTAGATGTAAGTAACCATGCAGAGTGCCGTGACTAGTACAAATAAACGAGTCCACTCTGTTTAGGTACCTAAACCGACCCGACCCTCGCTAGGTCTCTTAATAAGTAGTACTTGTACTGACCATTACGGACTCAGGACTGTCACATCACTTGCTACACTAACAGAGGTTACAAGAAAACTGAACAAACTAAACAGGTCAATGTACGCACAAAGAGGAAACAGGTCTTTGGTCTTCGATTTCCAGATCGGGAAAACTGTATATTAATGGGTGTTTCACGGAGCCCATAACATTACTGCTGCATCTGAATAGTGAGTGTTGTATTGTGTAAGTAGGGTTGGTTATATGCATGTAGCGTAGGTACCTGTCAACAAAGCAAATCAGTGATATAGGTAAGTATACTAAACACAACATCAAAACCAGAAACGATGTCTCGACAAATGAATACGTTACGTCTACTAGAATTTCATAAAAAAACCGACTTCAAAAACTAAAGACAAATGAAAAGTAAAAACTGAAAAGGAAAAAAATAACTATTATTGGTCATACGTACTTATAGCTTACGCACCCACTGATAGATAGGTTAGTAGTCGGTGATACAAGTTTTAAATATAATTATTCATTAAAACCTTAATAGATACATAACATTATTAAGCTGTTTACAATTTTATTACGGATTATGCCAACTGTGACCATTAACTACTTTATATTTTATTATGGATTTGTGGCACCGACTTCTAAGAATTTGGAGTATTCTTTCATAATCAGTTAACTTTTGACAAAAATTGCATAAGTGACGATATTGCACCGTAGGTGCGATATGTAATAATAATTGATTACTAAAATCGCTTCGCCGATAATAAATGAATAGGCCATCCCTGTTTGTGTCGATGTTACACACGGCCTGCACTCGGGCAGCTGAAAAAAAATCTAAGACTAGGTTAATTTCGCGAATACTGAATTTGAGCTTTCAGTGCACATACACATTAAAATATACGTATAGTTCTTACAAATCTTGTTTGCTTATATATGCCCGGGCTAGATTCACGCCTACGGGGGAGAAGCTGTGAAGAATTATAGTCAGTATTCCACGCAGAGGAAGTCGCAGGCACATCTAGTTTTTTCATGTAAATAATCTGTCTGGATACGAGGCCAAATAGAATAATGTTACTATTAGTGAGCAAGCGGCCATGGTGTCAGCTTGTCGGCTCGGCACTGCACAGATAAGAGCACGTGCTCTCGACTCCGCCTCTCAATTTAATATCGCAATGGCGGTTGAGGATAAACAGCGCTGCAAACTGAAACGTTTTCTTTTCCTTCTTTAGTTTAGTGATAACAATTTACTTACGTAACTATTGAGAACGAGGTCCTGGCCGCATATTTATGAAGGTTATATACCATTCCATGAAAGACAAAACTACACCGGCTTAGCTTTCGAAACTTTATGAAACCCCAATCCGTACTGAAATGTACTGAATTTGACCGAACGCTCGTGGTATTTGTTAGATTAATGCATGCTGACAATACTGGAATAAACTCTATACCATATCTTAAATAATTGAGACCCATATATTACCGATCGTTAGTGTAAATAAAAGAAAAACAATGTTTAAAGATTGTTATTTTTTTGGAATTTTTTACATAAATACGCCTGGCTCAAATGGGGGTAGGCAGAGACTATGGAAGGCCAAATTAACAAAGTTCCACACATACTACCGTTACCGGTGTAGAGGCGTCCGCAGATGAATTTCGAACTCAAAATGGATATTGTGACAGTAGCAACTGCCGTGCGTAATTATTTATTTAGAACTCAATAGAACCTAATAATTGAAACAGATACTTAATTTTATATTATAATAATATCCATTATTACCTTTCCCTTTTTCTCTTTTATTAATTATAGCCTATGGTCATCATCGGTAATGTAGGTTTCCAACGGTAAAATATTTTTTCAAATCGATACGGTAGGTAGTTTCGGAGGACATTCCATCCACAATTGAAATCTTATCAATTAGGAACTTGCTTATATAGTATATTTACATAATAATAGGAGTATGTAGGTGGAACCTATACCTGTACCTATGCATAAAAGTATCTGATAGGTATAGGTACCTAGTTTCTGCAAAAGAAACTTCCTGTAGTTGTTGGTGAAGCAGCTGCGACCGCAGTTTCGTGCTGCAGCGCACAGACAGGTATTTGGCCCTAAAAGCTGGCCAAAATGGATTTTTTTTATATTAGTTCTACTCCCTCTAAGCCATTGTTTCCAAAAATTAGGATAACCGCTCCAAACAATAGCAAAAAACACAAAGCGCTAGCCCCTTCCAGTACGTCGTGGGCTCAGTCGGAAGTTACCGTTCGCCAAAAGTGTTCGTGTGATTGTTCGATGCGCTCAGATTTCGTTGTTTTAAAATATTTGCTATTTTGTGACTGAACGATTTTGTGTTGGTTTTCATTATGGATTGTGCACAACCAGGTATGTATTTTATTTGGCACTTACTTTTAACAAGTATTCTATAGCTTTTCTTAATTTATACCCTTGAGAAGTAAGCCCCAAGAAACTGCTTTTAAAAACACATTTTGGAAAATCAAAGGGAGTTTTAATATATTTCTCATCATTTCTAAGCCAAAATTGTAATGGTTAACTTTAGAATAGACCTTTTAGTATGTAATTCAGTACAAAATAGCCGCCCCAAAGTGCCCCTCTATTTTTGGTGAATTTTTTCCCTAGAAACGCTCGATACTCAGTAATTGAAGTTTTACTTACATTTGGTGTATTTTTGTTATAGGATCTTCTGGAATGAGAGTCATGACTCGAAATGATTTATTTAATATAATGGAACGTTCAAATACCTCAACTTTTGATGAAAAGTTGCAGTGTATGGAGCGGGAACTGCTCAATCAATATGCAGAAAATGACCCAAATATTGCTGATGTAAAGCAAAAACTATCGATCATCAGACATCAATTTAAACAAAAATGGTTAGCTGCTCGCAAAACAAAGGCGAGATTCCTAGAAAACAATGCCGAGTGGCTTAAAGGATGCATATCGCTACCGAAAGCAGGTAGGTGATACTCCAATTCCATTATCTCTATTGTATTGTTATGCTTTGAAGTATTTTGTTTACCTGCACAATTTTTAACTTAAATTTTTAATGTTAGAGGTAGTAATATAAAGTAATTGTTTGAGTACATCTATTGTTTTTTGTTGTAGGAGAAAGTCCCGGTCGACCTCAAAAATCGTTCTTAGAGTTGAGTGAAAGAAGCAAAAGACGTAAAACTAAAGAACTAAGATCATCTGATACAGATGAATTGACGTATGCAACACAGATGAAATTACGGGAGACGGGCAAAGTAGATGCATCAAAAATCGTAAAAGATTTAACAAAAAGTCCCAGAAGAGCAAGGAAATATGCGGTAGCTATGAAAAAAAGCACTTGCGAAGAAGATCAGGAGAAATCAAAAAGATTAGCACATTCACGTGCATTGTTTATGTTTGTTGAAGCAGGACTAACACAGACGCAATATGAAGTAGTGCGAGAAACTAACCCAAGTTTTTATCCGTGCTATTCGATTTTGCAAAAGTTAAAAAAAGAGTGCTATCCTGAAATCCACAGAGTAACTGAAACGTGCGCTGAAGTACAGGTTCAAAATCTCATGGATCATACGGCACAACGACTGATTTTACATCTTGGTGAGGCAGTGGAACAATTGAGTGAAGCAGAAAAACAATCATTAGTATTAATAAGTAAATGGGGCTGCGATGGATCTCAACAGATGCAGTACAAAATGAAATTTGAAAATGAAGCCGACTCGGACGCAAACATATTCCAAAGTTCCATGGTACCGCTTCAGTTGATTTACGGACCGGAAAAAAAAATATTGTGGCAAAATCCTACTCCATCTTCACCACGGTATTGCCGGCCTATGAGAATAAGATTCATAAAAGAAACTACAGATGTGACAAATGAAGAGATTGACTATATTAAATCGCAAATAACAGCGCTTACTAAAAGCGAAGTCAACAGCTTTTCCATTAAGCATAAAATGCTTTTCACCATGATTGATGGAAAAGTATGCAATGCTGCTACGCATACTAAATCAACCATGAGGTGCTACATATGCGGCGCCACGTCATTACAGTTTAATGATTTGGAGAAGGAGAGACCATGCAAAAAAGAAAACCTAGAATTCGGCTTATCTTTGTTGCATGCTCGGATAAGATTTTTTGAGAGCATTTTACATGTGGCCTATAGATTGCCCGTAAGAAAATGGAACGTTCGCCTTACTGCCGAGGAAAAGCAAGCAGTGGAAAATAAAAAAAAAGAAATCCAAGATAAGTTCCGGGAGAAACTCGGTCTGTTGGTGGATATACCAAAAGCCAACTTTGGAAATACCAATGACGGAAACACTAGCAGACGTTTTTTTGAAAATTTCGAAGTATCAGCGACAATTACGGGGATAGACGTAAATTTAATTTATAGATTAAAAGTGATTTTGGACACATTGTGCTGTGGTTTAAAAATAAACTGCGAGATGTTTGAAAGATATTGCCAAGAAACGGCAAAGTTATACGTTTCTTTGTATAAGTTCTACCCAATGTCTCCGACATTGCATAAAGTGTTGCGTCATGGGGCTTCAGTGGTAAGAGAAGCAATTCTTCCCATTGGACAACTGTCCGAAGAAGCGGCAGAAGCCCGCAACAAACACATTAGGACGTTCCGGCTCAACTACGCCCGAAAATTTTCCCGGATAGCCTGCAATGCAGATGTTTTTAACAGGCTCCTCTTAACTTCCGACCCTGTCCTGACGGGCATGAGGAAGAGGAAGAATAAAAAAAATGTGTCACTTTCGGCTGATGTTTTAAATTTGTTATTAGAAAGTGACGTTTTAAATTTAAGTTTTGATGAAGACGACAATAATGAAGAATAAATGCTTGTATATGTTACATACGCTTTTTTTTTACCTTTTCCAAGCTAAAACTCAAATAAAACATCGTTTGACAACCATTAGGCGTACCAAATATTTTTGGCCAACTTTTAGGGCCAAATACCTGTCTGTGCAGCGGCGCGCGGCGCTCCCAGCGCCCGCCACGTGCTGGCCTGGCACGCGCTGGCACGCTCCGTGACGTCGGTGTCCTTGCTCCCGTGTGTGCGTGTCTGCTAGTTCTGATACTCGGGAATATTGGCTGGGAACTCACGACCCGCACATGTACAGTATTTTTGTGTTATTCGCCCTGTTCGGGATAAAGATAAACCAAAACAAACCCATGAAATTATGTCATAATAACTAGCTACTCCCGCGCGGTTCCGCCCGCTACTCTGTTTCTATTCGTTGTAACGTGATGTTTTGTACGGTTTATACCCCATGGCCTTCCTCGGGAAATGGACTACGCGACACAAGAATATTCTTTATAAAAGGGAACCAGTAGGTACTTTCTTTCTAAGTACCTACGTAAGTTAGGTTTCATTTTCCTGGACCGAGGACAGCCCGTTAGATTGGTCGGATACAGGACAGCCGATGACCAGCCAGAGAAGCACTAGATCGTGATCGACAGCAATCAAGCCCGCAATTATAATATAACAATTTATTGTATGGGACCTCAAACTGCACTACCAATCTTACGTTCTAAGTAAGTCGGCGTTGTAGAAGCGGGGCTGGTCGCTGGCCTGCTCCATTAATATTCTATTGTGTTATTTACATACACGAACGGAAAATACTATTGTAGTGGCATTTTCCTGGTATTTCAAAAATCGTTGTATTTCATCCAACTATTTACCTATTTTTCATTTTTGTCTGTATCTACATATACCTACGCGAAGTACACGTATAATATACAAGTCTGGTACACAAAGTATACCTACTATAGACTGCATAACTGATTGAAACCTGCCAAAAATTAAGTAAAACAGATCTGAGCACACGTTCAATGGTGTTGGATTCATTGCACAATTAACTAGCTAGCTATGTCTGGCGGCTGGCCACTGGCCAGTGAGCAGTGAGCGAGCCGAGCGGCAGCAGGCAGCGTGTCTAACGCCACTGTCACGAGCCCGGTACAACAAGCAATTAACAAACTCATTATACGCGCTACTTTAATTAACACTACACCGAAAATAAAGTTACAAGTTTAATAAAAAATCTAACGCGAACGTCATCTTGCAGCCAATAAAAATAGAGCAAGTCTTGTTGTATTTTGATCTTAATGATCATTAATCAATTTTGTTAATTTGTTTCAAAAGAGTTTAATTAGCTATGATTCAAGAAAACCTGCGCCTTAAAATTATTTTCTTATCTATGAAAGAACAGACACAGGATGTATACGGTATGTGTGTGTATGTAATGTTGAGGGCACATTGTCATTTTTATTGTCATCATATACA